CTGCATGCATTTTATTTTTCAGAAGTGGCGGTCTCAAATACCGTAACTAAAACAAATGCCCTTTCAAAGGGCACTGGAAATGCCTCACTTCCTCTGCAGGGAAGGGCAGTGATAATGGAATCCGGCAGAAACAAACTACAAGCTGGTCTTTGGACTCATTTGTCTTTACTTTTCTCAAGACCATTAGAGTTCATTAAGCAAGGGTAAGAACAAGGCCTTTGTGAGAGCTAAATACAAAAAGAGATTATCTAAAATAAAGCAAGGGAAAAGTTACTGTGGGCCAGCTAGACAGCTCAGCAGGTAAAGGTGCTTGCCTTAAACCATGACAACCTGATTGTGATTCCCACACCGTGGAAGGAAAAAAACTGACTCTGGCAAGTTGTGCTATGACCTCTCCATGCACTTTGTGGCATGAACTGCCCCCCCCACACACACACAAAAAATAAATAAACTAAGAAAATGAAATTTAAGTCACTGATGCTACATGTGTAAATTTTCATAGAATCTTTGTGCTTGAGGTTTGGAGGGAACCTTTACTTCTCCAAAGATCTTAATTTCATATACAAGAAAACTAAAATTTCTTAATATATTCAATAGGTGTCCTGACGCTTAACCTTCCTAGGGAAGTTTAGTGACCACATAGATCAATTGTGACCTAAACCAAGTAAACCCTGTCCTCCTCAGGTTGCTTTTCATTAGATTATTTTATCATAGGAACAAAGATCATAGGAATAAAACATAAGAGGTTTGACTACAACAACCTGTGCAACTTAAGAGTTCATAAAACTATGAAGACATCAAAGTTAATATTAATAACATATGCCATTCCCTGAAGTTTCTTCATAGGTCTTTGCAGTTAATGCCTCCATGCTTTCCATTCTGTCTCAAAGCAATGGCTGACATGTCACTTTATTCACTGTATATTGGTTTTGGTTTTATAGAGTTTATATGAGTAATGTAATCTGATCATTACACTATAGCTCACACTGACCTAGGACTCGTTATGTAGCCCAGGATGACCTAGAACTCACCATTTAGTTCAGGTGAACCTTGAACATACCCTCTAGCCTTAGCCTCTGGAGTGCTGTGATTACACATGAAAGACCACACACAGCCCCCAAATTATAATAGACATATGCTACTCATTCATGCTTTCTTTTTGGTCTGGTTTGTAACATTCACTGTAGTAAGGAGATTTGTTAATGCTGTCTTGAGTTTTCAAGTTATTGATGGCTAAGTACAAATATAGTACTTAGCCATTCACTTGTGTGTGGTATATTGTTTTATAATCTAACTTTCCTGGAGATCAGAATGCAAAGCTAACCACAGCCATAGGAGCTGGGCAGTGGTGGCACACAACTTAAATCTCAGAACTCAGGAGACACAGGCAGATAGATCTCTATGAGTTCAAGGCCACCCTGGGCTACATGAGGGTAAATCAGTCTAAAAGAGAAACAGACCTCACATCTTTAATCCCAGCACTAAAGAGACTATAAGGAGCTCGGTGCAGTCTCAGGAGCAGTCTGAGATTTGGTGAAGAGCAATGCAGTCTGGAGATGCAATCTGAGGTTCAGTGGATCACTCCTTCAATCTGAGCATTCATTGGTAGAGGTAAGAGCTCTCTGGTGGCTTGGCTGCATTGTTTTTCAGATCTTTAGCTTGAATACCAATATCTGTCTCTGGGTTTATAATATTTATACTACACTGTGAATGAAGTTTTGGGTAATTTCTAGTTGGGGCTGCTACAACCACTGATAATAGTAGGATTTCTGTCTGTTTTTCATTGGGTATCTGCCTTATGGTTGTGTTTCATTTCTCTCACTGCCGTACCCACTTTGATAGTTTTTCTTTTCCTTTATGTTCAACAAGAGATATAGGCAAATTCAAAACTATAAATGGACAATTCAGAATGCTGTCTGATGATTGGAGATACAGACTAAGGATAAATGTAACACACAAGACTTAAAAACCATTTAACAAATGACTAGATTAATTGTATTTATAATGTCTTCTACCCAACAGCTAGAGAACACTTGTTGTTTACAAGTACACATAAAACATTCTCCAAGAAAGACTATATTCTAAACAATACTGTAAATCTCAATAAATGTGTTTAATATTTAATTCATAAGAAGTAAGTTCCCAGACTAAAATGGAATTAAACTAAAGATAGTTAACCAAGAGATAATTGAATGGGAAGTTCCCAGACACTTGGGACCTGTTTTTAAATAACTTATTTTTTGAAGAAGAAATTACACAAGGATTTAGAACAAATTTTAATTGAATGAAAATGAAATACAGCACATTACAATTTGTGACATGTAGTTAATTACATGGAACAATTATCCTTTTATTGCTTATATTAAAGATACGAAAGGTTCCATATTGTTGAATAAGGTCTCCCCTAAATAATCTAACAAAAGAATAGTAAATTTCATATAAAGAAAGCAGGGAAATGAAATCATAAAGATGCACGAAGGTCCATGGCACCAGAAACTAAAAGCAATAGATAAAAATAAGTACACAAAAAAGGTAGTGTTTTGCAAAGATCTATGGCATAGTTAATGTCTACTCATCTAACCAAGGAAGAAGAAGACACAAGTTACCAAAGTTAGAAGTACAAGAGAATATATAGAGATCCTTCAATAATTAATAAGATAGTAGCATTCTATCTTATTATTTTATGTGGTTTCTGATTTTTCTTTTCTATTATAATTGCATCCCTTCTTTCTTCTCCTTTCTCCCACCAGGCCCTTCCATATACCTCTCCTTGCTCTCTTTCAAATTCATTGACTCTTTTTCCATTAATTGTTGTTACATGCATATATGTATATATACATATATTTCTAAATACAACCTGTTCAATCTATATAATGTTACTTATATGTAGGTTTTCAGGACTTGTCATTTGTAATTAGACAATGAATTGGTGTACTCTTCTCTGAAGAAGACTATTTCTTCCTCTCCCATCCACTATCAGAATAGCTTTTGTTAGTGGTGGGATTATTCTGGCATTTAGTCTGGCTTTGACCTGCATAGGCCCTGTGAAGGTGAAACTACAAAACTGTTTTTTTAAAAGCAATCTTTTCTCATTTTACATACCAATCCCAATTCCCACTCCCTTCCCTCCTCCTGCCCCCTCCCCCTCTCACTGCCCATCCACTTCTCATGAGTCAACAAAGTCTGGCACATCCCTTTGAGGCAGGACCAATGTCCTTCTCCCCCCCCCCCCCCCCATATCTAGGCTGAGCAAGATATCCCTCCAAAGAGAATGAGCTCCTTAAAGCCAGTTCAAGTGCTAGGGATAAATCCTAGTCCCACTGCCAGTGGCCCCACAGACTGCCCAAGCCACACAACTGGCACTCACACTCAGAGGGTCAGCTGTCTCTGTGGGTTTCTCAACATGGTCTTGACCCCTTTGCTCATATTATCACTCCTTCCTCTCTTCAACTGAACTTTGGGAACTCTGCCTGGTGCTTAGCTGTGGATCTCTGTATCTGTTTCCTTCAGTAACTGGATGAAGGTTCTATGATGACAATCAAGGTAGTCATTAATCTGATTACAGGAGAAGGCCAGTTCAGGCACCCTCTCTACTATTGCTTAGGGTCTTAGGTGGGGTCAGAGACTATAAAACCTTTGAGCTAGAGTGGTGGATTATCTACCTCTTGGAAGGAAACAGTTTCTTATTGTGACAGAAACAACGTAAACCAAAATAAAAAATTAATTTATTTTAGTGTGATGAAGTTTAAATTATTGTCATTCAAAGATACCCAAAAGAAAGTGAATGCTTAGGTCATAAGTGGGTTAATGAAGTATGTAGGACAACTGAGTAATTATAAAAGGAAATCAAAGGAATAGTATCAAGAGAAAAGGGTATTTATGTGCATTTATACATTAATAAAAACATCACCATCCTCTAGAATAAAAGGTTAAATATACTTATTTTACAGACAAGAACTCAAATTATCTTAAATATAAAAACTCTTAACTATATGAAAATGTGTTTAAATTTACCAATGACCCAGTCAATGTAATTTTAAAGTATGCTGAGAAATAATAATTAATAATTAATAAGTTGTTTAAGTCAGATGACACCACACATTGGTCAGGGTGAGCACTGGTGGAAATTTTTATTCATTGTGGTAGAAGGAGAAGTTCTGTAACTACTTCTGAAAGAACTAGCTTCCATGATGGACCTACATGTGCAACATACCACCCAGAATACTGACAGGTGGACACAGGATTAGAGAATTCGTGGCAATGTCCATCAATTACATATAATCATTACAATAATGATTACAGAAGCTTCTTCTCACATCAGACAATATGAAAACATCACAAATATCTAATAATAGAAGGATGGTAAAGTCTTAGAATAAGACACTGGGGAGCAGTGTAAATAAGTGACCTATAAGTGTATATAACAGCATAAGTTTGAATGAAAGAATAAAGTCACAAGGCAAAGATATCATTTGATTTTACTTATATGCAATTCAAACCCTAGGAAACTAATGTCCTACTTAGAATGTACTGCGAACAGTACAAAACTTCTAGAGAAAGAAACTGATCAGCCTGTAATTGAGGACTTACTGGCTCAGTGGGAAGAGAACTGCTACCTGTATTAGGCATACAAGATGACCTGCAAAATAATAGAGTGTTGTCTCTTAGACTTTGTAGCATGTACCTAAGTATTCATTCTCTCCTGATTTATTATGCATATAATATATTGGGTATATTATTGGTTTTTAAGTTAATTTTTGCAGATTCCAATAATCCCAAACTACAGATCTTAACTCACTAAGTTACGATGATATGGATAAATCTGTTTATTTTTATCAGATTCTCATGGTGATTTTTATAGAAGTAGTCTGAAGACTATGTTTTGTGTATCTGTACTGCTTGCAGTTTGATGTTTTTACTCTTATAATGAACAATTCCGAAAAAGCAAGCCAACAATTCAAGGAGACAGTTTATAACAAATGAAACACAACTCTTCCATGTCCAGAAACTTTCACTTTACTATAGTATTTATAAAAGATAAGTCAAGAGAAGTCGCATTTTAAAACATGTTAATCATGACACAAGATCCCAACAAAGAAACATGTCCCCGTACTGTACAGTACCACGTAGAGAAAACTGGCTAATCATTATGCCATGAATTAGGAATGTAGTACCTGAAAGTCAACCCAGTGCTCTCTTTATCATTTATCTATAAAAATATAAAACCCTGCTTCTTCTTTACAGGAAATCATTGTCAATAAAAACTATAGGAATAAAATTAGGTTGAAGGAAACAAAATATTAAAAGGTGACACTGGGTCAGCTGCTTATTGAATATTAATATTAACATTAAACTTTTATAAGATGCATTAAGTTACAACAGTCAGTCCAAGCAACACTGTTTGATTATGTTCTGACCTGCATATGGAGTGCTGCTGTTCTAAACAACCTTTCGACGACATGATTTTATTTTATATATATACAGATTCTGTCAGTTGTATGGCAATATGCACATCATGCGACTGTTCCAGTCCCTTCCTCTCAATGATGGGGACTTGTCGAGGACAGTTCTGGTTGGCTTTTGTATTCAGCAAATCTCAAGCAGCCACTTTCCCTTTACTGAGAAGAGTTCCGGTAAACCTGAATGCTTCGGTGGCGGAATGATGAATTTAGGGCTTATAAATAACGTCTTTCCCAGATCATTTCCAATGTTAGCTACACCTTTGATTTCTGTGCTTCCACCAGACTGTATGATCCTTTCATATTGGCTTTTCTTGCGAAGTAGATGATCATCCCAATGGCAGGAATTATTAAGGAGGATGCACAGTAGAGTGCAAGGAGTTCAGGAGAAATATAGACCTTCTTATTTTCTCTCCCTGGAAAATAACCAAATGGATACAATTAATGTCTAGCATAATAGGAAATAATTTAATCACAATATGTATTTTATTTTAGCAGTACAACTAGTTCTTCAAAGAGGAAGGGGAAAGCTGTGCTGAGGGCCATTGAGACTCATCAGATGCATTTTCCCCCTCAAACGTCCAAATAAGTAGCTCATAGTTAATTTGCTCATGATAGGTATGAAGATGACAGCTCCTGGCGCTACAGATTTGGAAGTTTAAAGATTGCTTTGGGTGGAAAATGGAAGGGAGGTCACACATTTTAGTCACGTCTATCTTATGAGAACAAGAATCTGAAAATTCTATGAAGTCCTGTGACTCTGATCATCATGAATTGAAATGCCTAACTAGTTCTCCTAGAGTGTGACCATGACAGAACACTCTTGTGGATGGCTGCCATGTGTTTATGTGCTTTTTTCTATGTGTCTGAAGCAAAAGCATCTTTACATATTTATTCCCCTCCAGCACTGACAGCCTCTCTTGACTTACTGGTGGTCTTCAGATATTTCATTTAAGCAAATGTCTCAGTTACTCAGAGAGTGAGTGCTCTGACCTACATTTCCCTTGTTCTAAACTAATACTCTAATGCTCCCTCAAACTTCAGCCACACTTTTGTATTCCCCCAACAGCTTACAGTTCAACATTTGTCCGTGCAATTATCTGTTAATTTTTCTTTTTCTGACTACAAACACCGTAGAGATAGCATGAGGTACTTCACAACCTAGCCAGCACTTAAGACACTACTGGCACATTGGGTAACCCAAAAATATTATTTGAGTACTAATATTATTTGAGTACTAATAAAGTGTGTCTTTCTAAATCCTATTATTTTACCACATGGTCATAAATGTATTACTGAAAATGACAATTACAAACAATTTAAAATTTCCTAAGAAAGCATATGACAGCCGCAACACCTCCTAACCTCTAGGCTCCATAAAAACATTTGCAGAGAGCGTGACATTCTCCTGAGACTTGCTTCTGTTGCTTTTGCACACCACAGTTTAGTCTCACAAGTATGTTTTATTAAGTGGAAGAGTATGTTGTCCAAGTCCTTGGAGGAAGTAGTAATCTGATGTGAGGCATCACTACATTCCTTCCAGAGCTTTCAAATCACAGAAAGTCACTCAAGTAGAAACCACTCATTAGCCCCACAGGGGTGAGTTGCTTCAAATTACTGATGGAGAAAAACGATGTTTCATCTTAAGCATCATGACAATGGCTTCATTTCTCTGCTTCTCTTTGGTAGAATTGATCTCAGAGTAATATTTTAATGGGACACTCATCATAATTATGGTTAGGTACCAATGTTGATGACACACTAGGAGGTATTTCTCCTACTGCTTTCTTTACACTTTAATTATTATCTTTGCCTTTCAGTCTGTCCCTCAGACATTTGTTAAAAACTCAAAATTGAGTCTGTTTCCAGGGCAATATTCTAACACATTTTTTCTATTAATTATATAAGCCTCAGAAGTCTTTCAGAATCCTGATCACTTGTATTAATAGAATACATTTAAGCCAAAGACAAACCAGACAAAATAAACATAAACATTCAGCTAAATACAAAGGAGAACTAGTTCAAACTTTCCAGGGGGAAAACAAGGTCAACCTTGGGTCTTTATTCATATGCAGCTGTTTGAAACTGTCTTCATATTGGAAGCATGACAGTCTAGCTGGGTGACTAATACGCTTTCATTGCTCATTTAAACGATAAATGAAAAGTGGCAAATGCTCAAGAGAACAATTCAGCAATTAGAAAAGGCAACGTGTGGAAGGGAAAGTTAGAAAGGGAAGAAACAATTTTCATGGTCTTGAGGAGAAATAGCACAGGATGACAGAATCCTTAGGAGTGAAATTTCCAAGGGCAAAGCTAAATTATGGCTAGCCAGAGGTATCAAGGGTTAAAGAACACAGAAAAGAATCCAGTTCAGCGCACTCCTAATTGAGATCTTGGTCCATCTCACTGGAGGCAACAGCTATACATCCAATGACATGATGGAAGACAATGCCCCACTCTTTGAATATATGGTAGCTGCAGGGGGGGTGACTAGACGTTTGACATGTAATTATGGTATCCCCTCCCCCTTTAAAAACATTTCTAAGTGGATGCATTGATTTTGCTCTGATGCGAAGAGGTACTGTGAAGATAGAGACGAAAAATGTATACTAAGATTTATAGTCTTAAGAATTTTGACCAGATTGGAAAATGTTTATGTTTTCTCACTTGGATTCAGGTTTTCTCTACACTGACATGGGGTTAGTTAACTCTCATAGTCAATGCCAGAGCTCTTAAGAGTTGGCATTCATTAGCAGTGTTGTTCACTCTACCAGACTGGATTGCAACATCCAACTGCTCTTTGGCATACAAAGGGTCTGAAACTCATTAGTCAAGGCTGGCATCAATAAAATTAGCAGGCAGTCACAAGAGAGAACAGGAAATTAAGGAGTGCCAATATGTCTCTGATGGGGCCGTTGTCCCCCACCCCCAACCCCTCATCATCAAGTTAAAGCCCGACAACTGGGGCACAGATTTCAAAGGAAACTTTTGAGATCTAGAGATCCTGCTTAGGATCCAGGCCACTATCCCCACTTAGCATCCTCACAAAAGACCCATGCAGAAAACAAGCAGTGATTCTGTCCTCTGAAAGCAGAGCTCCTTTCCAGTGGGGGCAAGGTCTGTAAAGGATTTTTTTTTTCTGTTGTGCCAGCCCATTCTTTCGTTTCCATTTGCCCTAGGGGCAAGTTTGTAAAATGTGGTTAAATACTTAGCAAATCTAAGACCTCAGAAACCAATGATGAACTGGCAACTTTGAAAAAGAAAATAACAAATGGAATTCCACATTCACCAATGATTAATGTCCACTTCCTGGCTAAACACTATAGGATGGAACAGCTGTGCACGAGAATTTCAAGAAACATTAAGAAACAACCAGTCAGCACCAAATTCAGTCTCATTATATCATCTTCATCTAATAGTAGAAACTTGTTGCTCTCCTCAGACACTTTGAAAAATTAAAAAAAAAAAGCAAACACAACAAGCTAACCTTTTACATCAAGGGTTAAACTTCTTAATTGTGAGCCAACTTTGGTTTTAGATTCACACTCGTACACTCCGGCATCCTGCAGCTGTGCCTTGAGGATGGTGTATGAGCCATCAACAGACTTTAACACCATGTCTCCTGTCTTTGCTTTCTTCTTCAGGATTATCCAGGTTTCTGGCATGTTTCCACATGTGCAGGAGATAATAACAGTGTCTCCTTCTTTGACACTCTCAGAGGGGAAGGCTGTAAGCTGTATATCTTTTGGAGAGGCTGAAGAGAGAAGAGGCAGTTAGCATGGATGGAGTGGAGAGCTACAGCATTCTGACTGAGAACTTCGACAGCCACTGGCAAGCTATTTGTGATGCTTTCTGTATGAGCTGTAAGGAAAGCAAGCAAAGAAGTCCGACATTTCCCCAATTCTAAATGATTGTATTGTGTAAGCAAGGGAAGACACATCTCAGCCTTCTTTCCTGCCTTTACTATGATTCTTTAGCCAGCTGAGGACAACAATTATGTATTTAATAAGTAATTGTAGAATTCAGACATGGAAAAAAATTTAAGTTTTCAAAAAAGCACATTGATTACCAAAATTTTCCTTGAAGTGCATAAGCCTTATGAGCTAGGAGCTCACTGAACAGGAAATTAAGATCTATAACATTTTCTTAAACTGTCTTTAAGAACATAGTTACCAATTATCAAATTTCAAGGTCTAGGCTTATTTCAATTGAGGTCGTAAGACTTACAGGAAAACACCAATGTCTGTTTTATAAACACTTGCTGAAAACCATCTACTTTGTCACTTTTATGCTCTTCTTCCAAGGCCACAGGGCAATGACACTCATACTCTGATTTCCTTTTTTTTCAGATGGTCATACATTGTAGCCCAGGCTGGCCCAAGAATCTCCTAAAGGTTTTTATTGAGATTATGTAGTACCCTTCCCTGGTTCTTCCTTTGAATTACAGACCTCAGCGAAATGGGGCAGCAACAACATACAACCCAGTACACCTTGCCAGGAATATAGATGATAAGATAGAGTGCAACCCAAATACCCCCCAGAGAACACATGGAGAGCAATGCAAGTTGTTCATTCTGTAATTATGCGCATGAAAGCCTAAGGCTTTGATGTGCCAATCAGAAACTGTTGAGTGTCAATTTTGGGTCTTTATCATTGAGAAGGGAGACCTATATTTATATTCCCCCGAATGGTTCTGTACCAGCAGGCTGAGAGACCAGAGGGCACAATGACTGTGATCCTTAATCTCAGAATTTACAAAAGGTAACCCTCTTGGGCTTCTAAACAAATCCTAGGCAGCTTCTTATGACTTGCTTCTCAGGGTCCCATTAAGCCCAATGTGATTGTTTTAATCCTAAGTAATTTCCTATCATTGTTTCTTCACCCAAAACACAATATCCTAAGTGTCCCTACACTTCCAGCTCAGTTTCTGGAGCAAGCAATTTGTTTGAGGTAAATAAGATTTTTAGGGCAAGTGATTGGGCCTGAAATGAGAATTCATTCTAGGAGCAGTGTGAAACTGTTTTTGTACATTTCCCCCTTTTTTACATATAAATACAATTTTGAAATAAAGTTTTTTCTTTTTAAGATTTATTTTTATTTTTAAGTTATGCATATTTGTATGTCCCTGCATGTGAGTTCAGTGTCCATGGAAACAAGGAGAGGACATGAGATCTCCTGGAACTGGAGTTACAGGCAGTGAGTGCTGGGAAAAGAACCTAGGTCATCTGTAAGAGCAGTGGGCACTCCTTACTGCTAAGCCATCTCTCTAAACCCGAAAGGCTTTCTTTACAAAGGTGACCTTGTTCACTATCAGTAACTCAATAGGAAATGTACTAGTCATAAATAACTTAAAAGTCATACTCTGCTTACCTTGGATAATCAGTTCAACTAATTTTTTGCTAGTTCCCATCTGGTCAGTCCCTTCACACACATAAATGCCGGAATCTTCTGTTTTTGTAGATGTTAAGGTGAGCATTGCATCTTCGGAAAGAGGCTGCAGTTCCCCATTATTTAGCTGCCTGCTCCACAGGATTTTTGGAGCTGGAAAACCATCGCTTGAGCAGGTCAGGTTCACAGGACTGCCCTCATACAGGATGGGAGATGGGCTGACCCAGATGGTGATTTCCCTGGGGGCAGCTGAAAAGGAAAAGACACTTAGCTTGAGCCTCTTATGTCCGGAATTCCATACAGTCTGGACAATGCTGTAACACTGGACAATGGAATCTGGGTTAGTATAGTTTATAAACTGTGATAACCAGCCCAGAAAGTTTCTGTGAAGGAGACACAATAATAGTTAGAACCCAGATGAAGGGTGGATATTTTCCAATGGCAGAAAGCTCTGGAGAAACTCTTTTCACGTCAAAGCATAGAAAGTCAAGTACAGGGTAGTGTTTGGGTGACATAGTGAATTAGAAGGCTCTATGTGACCCTGTGACCCGGTGAGAAGAGCCAAGGTAAGGTAGAAGTTTCTGAGGGAGAAAAGAGTAGAAGAGCATTGGAAACACACATGCACACACATGAAGGCATCTGAGGAAAGATTGACAGGTCAAAGGTATATATTGTCAAAGCATGATACATTGGAAATTCCCTGTGAATAAGAAAAACCAATTTACTACACCTTGAGCCTGTGTTGATGATTTGGCCAATAGGATGTGGGTAAAGTGACATGGGGTGGGGGAGGGGCCAGTGCTCCTGACATAGGCCTGTGTGAGGCTGCTTTTATCATCACCTTCTTAGCTGTGTTCTGGAGAGTAAATCTAGGCCCCCTTCCCAGAGAATGACGCCACACTGAGAAATGACAGGTGGGATCAAGCACGTAAGGCTCAGACACTTAAGTGAAGCTACCTGTGGCAAGTTGGCTGCTAGCCTGGCCTGGCTAAAGATGGTGAACTGAGCTCTGCTGATTCTATCTGCGGCTGAGTAGCTGCCTGGCTGGCCCATTCCTTAATGCTAAGGCATAGAACTCTACATAAATAAATGGTTTGTTTTATATGATGGAAATTGGTTTATTATAATCACTGTTATTGTGAATTTCCTTTTCAGTTTTCTTCACAGAGGTTTTAATTGCTAACCTTCTACTAGCCATTACATAGTGGACTTAATAAAGAAATCCATATTCATTGGTAGCTGCCCCATGTAGGTACTTACCGTTGACATAAAGAGTCTGTGTACTCTGTCTTTGTTTGGGTTCAGAGTCCAATTCACCATTGTGTAACTTAGCCCAGCAAACAAGATCTTTTCCAGTATCTTCAATGGTAGGGATGAAGGTCATTTCCAAACTTTTAGTCTCCAGGGATTTTGTGCTCATTTCCTCTCCAAAACGTTTATTCATCAGCATAGTTTCCTCCTTCAGTAATTCAATCTCCAGATGGTTAAAAGGGTACACATCAGGGACTGTGCAGTTTATAGTGACAGGTGTTCCGTGCACAAGTGGACCACTCATTTCAATTTCGGGGTCTTTGGGGAATGCTGCAGATATCAAGCAAATATAATTGTGATGTGTGATAGTCAAGGGAAAACTGAGTCAGACTGCATTGAATACAAAATTCTCAGAGTGACAGTTTTTGATCAGCTGGAAATAGTAAGGGCATAAATAATACCATCAACTATAATAACACATTTGCAGTATTAGTTATAAATCATATGAACAAAACACTTAATATTTTAAGTCAATGAGTAATAAATGTTTTCACTCCTTATTTTTCTCTTCTAATGATGCCATCTTGCCTGTTCGTTTCTAAGACTTCTGCCATCCTTTTAATTAACTATATGATTTAAATGTTTTAAATATTTGTCACAATATGCTGACTACTAAATATAAACTAATCCCCCAGCTTTCATTATCTCCTTTCTGAGCAACCTGACAAAATGGTTGTTATGTAACTTACTTATAGCTAGAAAAAGAAACTCACAGGAACAAAAGAGACTTCATAATATAGCATACGTAGTCAAAATCTGTCCTCTGACCTATGAATCTTGGCTACACGAATTTTCAGTATCAAATGAGACTCACAGTGCAGTTCTCAATTTAGATAGTATATCAAAATTTGGATAGTTTATTTTATGACTAAATTTAGACTATGGGTTTTCAATACTTTCAGAATGTTTTCTTTCCTTCTTTCCTTTCCTTCCTTCCTTCCTTTCTTTCTTCATTTCGTTCTTTCTTTCTGTTTGCTTTTGAGACAGGACCTGGATGACCTGGGACTCTCTATGTAGATGAGGCAGGCCTCAAACTCACAGGGATCTGCCTATCTTTGTCACCAATCAGGTAATTCTTGAAATTGAGAACAGAACTGACATCTGGGCATAGTGGCTCACACCTTTAATTCCAGCACTTGGGAGATGGAGGCAAGTGGATCTCTGAGTTTGAGGCCAGCCTGGTCTACATAGTGAGTTCGAGGACAGCCAAAGTTACACAGAGAAAACCTATCTCACATATGTGAAATCCAAGTTGAATTTTTAAATAATATACATGTATGTATTGATATGTATGTCCTTGCAGGTCATAGAACTAAAAGGAGGAAAGGAAGTCATCTTAAGGGATGGGGAAATGGAACATATCAACAGGAAAGAAGGCAACACTGTCAGGAAAAGGAAGAGAAGCAGCTAGTGAGAAGACAGGCATGGAGAGGCAATGGGGGAAGAGGAACAAAAGAGAAGAAAGCACCATGACACAGACATATGATGGTGCCATGATGAACTCACTTGTTTGTATGCTAACTTTAATAAGAAAAAGGAACTATCCTAACTGTAGCATTTATAATCTGAGTAAGTTTTCTCTCATCTAATAAAATGTATAATACATCCTATGTAAATTAACAAAAATGACACCAGAATCATTATCAACATAGAAGTAACACTTAAGGGGGAAAAACAACCTAAAATTTTTTTCCTGAAGAAAATCCACCACCTTGCTAATGTGGTGGATTTTCAATCATGTCCACAATGCAACCAACTGTCATACTGCTCCCATTTCTGCCGGAATGTGCCTACATCAGCAGATCCTGGAATCTGTAATATGATACAGCAATAAAGTTTATCCTCCTTTCAAGAGATTTAATCCTGAAGGTTAACACAAGCTTGTGCAGGGTTTTAGATGGAAAATCTTTACAGTATGTTCTCTGGGGTTGAGTGAATAAAGCTGGGCAACACCACCCTCTCCCCAAAATAACCTCACAGTCACATGGTCTCTGTGAAGTTCATTCCTCACTTAGTGTAGATGGAAGGATTCCAGAAATGTGAAATTCATAGATTAGAGGCTGAAAAGGATTTTTTATTAAGATGACAATAAAGGCAGAGGAGAAAAAGTGTGTCATTTGTTCACATTGTAAATCAGTTTTAAAACTTGCTATTGATTCCTGATTCTGCTGTACGTATTTATAAAGACCTTCCCACACTCACACTAAATAAAACCTGTCTCCATTTCTGGCACCCTACTGTTTCCCATATTCCCCAGTCCTAAATCCCTGCAGGTCAGCTTTTCAAATCTGCCTTAAAACAGTAGGAGATGCCTCCACTATTTCTCCCTGCCATACCTTTCTCCCAATCCCATAGGTTTCCCATTCTTTCTTCTTTCATGAAAAAGTGATAATAGTAGCTAACATATTCTATGTTTATTTTAAAATATGTTTATTATATATACTATATAAAATATAAACACTTATTATATAATAATGTATTATTTAAATGTACTATATGCATACAATAAAAAGAATGCTATATCTAATCAGAAGCATGATTATTTGAGAAGGAAAAGGGGACAGTGAGTGGGAGGAGAAGGGATAAGACACAGTAACAGGAGGGTCAATATGAACAAAGTACAGTGACACATTAATTTTCTATTCTTTTAAAAAAATAACAAATACTACACACAGTGAAGCTACCTTTCAAAAATGAAATAAAGGAGAAATAAAGATTTTTAAAAGTGTACATTAAAAAAAAAAACCAGTAAGCTGGCAGGCTGAGGGTATAGCTCAATGGCAGAGTGCTTGCCTGGCATGGACAAAGTCTTGAAGTCCATCCCGACCATCTCAAAACAAAATGGAACAAAACAAAGGCAGGCTTGAGCCTCACCCACAGTTTGAATAGATGAGGCAGCCACCCCTCACCTAGTGGTTATCTAAATGGGGCACAGGCCCCTAACTGCTCTCATTCACCCCCTTCATACACCCTACGTCCATGTGGGAGAAGCAGAGCATGGAGCATGGCTTAGTCAGGATTAGTCAGTCACACACTGTGTGCGTGCTGTAAACAAATGCAATACATACTCAAGAGCTGGACCAACCATATTGCATCTGACAGTGTTTAGCGATCTAGGGGTAGTTTACAATGCCAAATCTATCTCTACATAAATGGCTGTCACTACAGAATCACATTTGTCTTCCAAAGGAACCCAAGGAAAGGGAAGTAACCCAAGAATGACAGATTTTGAAAAGCACTTACAGTAGACCTCCAAGTGGATTGTCTTTTCCAGTTTCCTTCCAGCACATGTCACAGTGACCAGGTAAGTGTGTTCATCCTCAAAACTCGCATGTTCTATTATCAGTACGGACTTGGCCCTCTCATTCCTCACCTCTCCGTTAGGGGGGCTATCTGTCTCGGTTCTCCAAGAAAAAGTGGGAGAGTCACAGTCATCAACAGAACATTCCAGTGTAACTAAGTCTCCAATCTTTGCAGACACCCAGGGTCCAGGGGAGATGTCAACAGTAAATTGTTTCTCTAAGGAGAGAAAAAAAGAAAGAATAAGATGAGTAACAGATAAAATTCTTTTCTTATTGCATCATATTCCATGTTTATCTTTCTTGATTTCTATTCAGCTACTATCTGTGCCAAGAAGAAGTTGCTCCTTTCCATCTTGGAGCCATCAGGAATAAGATCACTCTTTTCAGAATAAACCCACAATGCTCTGTTGGTTCATGCCAGAATAAGTGTAGATAATAATTTAGCAAAAATGTGGTTGGCATCTTTTGAGAGCAATAACCCAGCCTGTGCTTTATGTAGTCCATCAAGTCACTGTGATTGTACAGGACTTCACATTATCCAGTGGTTTCTGTGTATCCAGCATCCTGTATTTTGCTTTGTATGCATGCATCATCTCACTTAATTCCCAGAACAATTCATTAGCGGGTACTTTTATTTATTCTCTACTTCTTCATCTTTCTGCTCCTGCATTTTCTCCTTCTCTTCTTCCATCCCCTCATCCTTTCTCTTCTTTAAGACATGTAGGCTAAAAAGTACTAATTGGCACAAGCTAAATTTGCAAACGAGATAACTAGAACTTTATGTGGGATGGCTCAGACTTGAGAGTCCAGTATTTCTGTTCTGAGAACAATGAAATCAAGTCATCCTCATGTGAAGATAAAATGAGATCTAATTAGAAATACTATCCTTAATGAACCATTCACATACATCTATATAATGGGATTCTAATATAAAGTAGTATTTTTGAGGATCGCACAGAATCACAATGAAAGCGAAGGGAAGATGTAAGCATTAAGGTAATGTCAACTTTGATGTATTATCAAAAGACTTTATAGCCATTCAGGGTAGAAACTGAGTGATAATGGCAAACACCTGAGATTCAAGCATTCAAAAATGTTCTCCAACTTCCAGGCACACAGGCTTGGATGAAATGACATATTTCGAGGGAAAATTTTCTAAATCTTGATGCTGTTCTCTAGGAGTGGTTGGGCAACTTGGCAAGTGACAGATGAATCTCCAAAGAAAATCACTAGATGTTCTAGAAAGCTGGAACAAGAGGAAATCTCAACATACAGTATAAATACACTCCATTTTATGTGGTTCTTTTCTGTACCAGGAAAATAAATAGCTTCTTTTCATTTTAGTTTGGGTAATTGTGATGTTGCATTATTTTCCAAACAAGAGTCTTCTAAATTACCTCCAAATAAATTAATAGGCTATTAGATTTTGAAGAGATTATTCAAAACAATAACCAAGTTGTCCAACTTCTGTCTATGCTAGTGTGAGAATGAGGAACTTATTAGGAGATTCACTTCCTACTTGCAATGAAACTGACATCCATCACTGTGTGTACTTGGAGCTTCTGAGAAGAAGCCCTTCCAACTTCAGGCCAGTCAATTGAGGTTGGTAGTCACACTTTTCAAGGCCAAAACACATTTCCCTTGCCCATTTGAAAGGAGTCCCAGCATTGTGGGGTGCAACTATTCTAGAATAGACACTGAGCCTCCCACGAGTATAGTAATCACCCACCTGAGTTTGAATTCTACTTCCTTAGTCATCTAAACTTAAAACCCATATTTTCATAGATTAATAATGTGCTGTCCAAGTTTACAGTTTATGTTTTCATTCAGATAGCATTTATTAAACACTTGCTAAGTGTCAGGTACTATATTAGCCAGCCATTCATTAATTCAAAGGCATACACAGTGAGTTCCTGAGTTTTGAGTTTAGAATCTTGCAGTTTAATGAACAGACACATTCAAATAAATACTTTTTTGTGCTCTTACTAAAGTATACACTTTGATTTAGTCATTCCACATTGTGTAAATATACCAAAATACCATATCATACACAATGTATGCATGCATATACTTTTGGTTGTACAATTAAAATATTAACTTTAAAATAGAGAAAATTAGCAATAATTGAAAAGGCATGGCATTTTGAATTATGGGGACCATATAAGTGCAACAAAGAACCCTTTGGCCCTATGAAAATGAAGAGCTATATTACACCTGAAATTTTTAGCTACCTCACAGAACATGGTAAAGACTGAGATAACATATGAAGTAGAATGTAGAACTCTTGGCAAACATTAAATATACAGTCAAATGATGGCCATTATTAATCTGAGACTTTATTCTCCCATCTGTAAAATGGATAGAAAATACCCCTTAGTTATTTCTTGAAGACTAGATAACTTATACAAAGTGGCAGAATGCCAGCTGGATTTAGGAATGCTGTTGTTTAACAAAAATCTCCCAAAGTCTCAAATGAGAAATTATAAACTAAGGCAATGGCAAGAGGATTGGCTGTAAAGGAAGTTATGTCATAGGGAATCCTTTTTGAGGTACAAAGGTCCATATTAGGTAGTTTGGAATGGGACCATGCATTCAGTAATAGTAAGTAGCAGTGTAGTTCCTGAGTATATGGAGTGGGAAGACCAATGTAGTAACATGAAGATGCTAATGTTCAAAGGACAGGAAAAGAGACCATACCAGGAAATGAGATCACAGTGAAGTGACATGAGCTACTAAATAACCAGTGTGGAAGTTCTGGGAGAAAAGAATTCCAAAAAGTATGATATGTATGTATGTATGTATGTATGTATGTATGTATGTATGTATCACATGACTACCAGGTGATGGGTACCTCTCCACATTGTACTCACCTTGAACAACTAATTCCAACTCTGCTTTGTCTCTCCCAATCAGATTAACTCCTTCGCACACATAAATTCCAGAATCTTCCATTCTCATAGCAATTAAAGTGAGAGTTGCATTTCCCGAGAGGAGCTGTAGATTTCCACTATCTAATTTCTTGCTCCAGAAAATCTCAGGAGCTGGTAGACCCTCACTGGAACATGTCATCATAACAGCATCACCCTCTTGAAGCCTTCTGGAGGGATATACAGAGATAACTGTATTCTTGGGAGAGACTGAAAAGGGAGAACATGAGTTGACATTAAGCATAATCTCCATCCAATGGGAATGATTTTTTTCTCTTATAGAGTGTATTTATGTGTCTCTCTACAAACCTACCTGCCAAGTAGGAGTCAAGAATCACCAAGTCATTAAAAAATTAGCCAATCTAATTTCTAACTAGTTAATATAGTTTTTGACATTTGATGTTTTCAGGGAGCCACAGGTAGGTAGAAATTAAGAGAAGCCTTTCAAGTTTCATGGTTTAGTCTCTTGCCTAAGAACTGGAGTCCCATATAGGAATCTTTCTCAAAAGCACAACCAGGTCAGCTTCAACACTTACCAAGGGAGACCACCTACCCAGGACCATCAAACTGACATTTAAATATCATTAATCATTGAAAAAGTCTCTTATTGAGCTGAAATCTTTCTGGAGGTAACTAGCGTTGGCACAATGGTCATAGTTCACTCCTGTGCCCTTACAGATAAATGGCAATGCTCCTTCTCACACAGCTATCTTTCAGTGACTTAGCTATACTTCTCTTTCAAAGTGCTAAATTCTGTGAGGAGAAATATCCCCTATCTTCATTGTTCTCACAAAAGGTTGTTAAAAGCTTTTTCTATTGCCTTATGCTCTGGATAAACATATTGTATGAGAAGAAAACTTCAAATACACCAGCAGAACACCTTTCTATCGACTACATGTATGTACATGTGAGCACATTCTTATATACATATATATACACACACACACCAAAGAAAAGAGAGAGAATAAGAATCTTGCCAAATTTTTATATCTGTGAAACCAATGTTTCAAGGCTTATTATAAAATTTTATAAAAATTTTAACATTTGAAACCATTTCCTACTATTCAAGCACATAGTGTTATGATGATTCCTCCTTATACATAAGAAAATAGAGGAATTAAACAATCTTAAGGTCACTCAGTTAAAAGTGAGACAAGATACTCCAATGCTCTAAACCCAAATCCTGTATCCTGTTCTTTTAATAACACCATTCGTAATATTATGTCCTGAATAAGCAATGCTTATAAGTAAAAACTACATGCTTCTTGTTAATCTAGTTAACACATTTATTGTAATAATAAATAAAAATACATATCTGAGACTGAATCCCCATAGACTAGAGCTCATCTTGCAAGTACTTACTGTAGACTTGCAGTTTTTCGACAGTTTCCCTTTCTTTGGTCACAGAATCAATGTGTAATCTAGCTCGGCAAACAAAAGCTTTTCCAATATCGTCAGTGCCAGGAGTAAAGGTGACTTCCAAACTCTTGGTTACCAAAGACTTTTTCTCCATCGCTTCCAGAAACATCTGAGTCGTCAGGAGATGGTCACCTTTGAATAGCTCCACCTCCAGACTATCAGATGGGTAGACATCAGGAACCAGACACTTGACCATGACAGGCTTCCCAACCTCCAGGGGGCCACTCAGCTGAACCTCGGGATCCTTAGGGAATGCTGCAAAACCAAAGAAATGCACAAGTAGTCTTTCGCCTTCTGTTGATAACATCTCTGACTGCTTTAACACAAGTCAAAACAAATGTTTTTGTTAATACTGGGATAAATTCAGCATAGCTGCTGTTTAAATAGCTAGTCATGGTTAGCAGTGGACTCAGAAAGCAAGAATCAGAATTAACCACTTTTTAAAGGCCATTTCAGTTTTAATCCTATAACTGTTAAAGAGTGTGTGTTATTACAAGAAAGAAGAAAAAAAAAAAGCCTAATATCTATTAAAACTTAGCAATAGGTTGAACATAAAAGGCTTTGCTTCCTTTTTACTATAACCCTGGGTAACAGAAGCCACATTTCACAGATGAGGAAACTTGGACATAGTGTGATTGCAGAGCCAGCCTCGGTCACACAGCTGTGGTGAGGCTGGGAGCAAAGCGCAAGCCTTCTGTCTCTCTGCACTGGGATTCCAGTGACATATTACACCCTGTTCCTTTATGCTAGTGCACACACACTTCTAGATGAGAAGCCCAACATTCAGAATGACACTGCAAAGAGATGCTACTGTGTAAAATTGCCTACAAAATGAGGAGAATGGCTAGAGGGCTGACTTCTGAAAATGTGACCTCTGGTAAGAGTTTATCTACCAGAAAGGCATTCCTATGAGAGCTCTCCATACTGAATTCATTCCCCCAAAAGCCTCAGTGTTCTCACCAGCACTCTACTGAAAGTGAACCCACCTGTACAATGGAACGCAGTGTGTTGCCCCTCCCCCTCCCCCCTTTCACAAGGTTTAGAGCATATATATATGAATTCTTTTGTGTCCCAGCACCCAAGGATATTACAATCAAATGTGGAATGGAGACTGAACTGTTAAATACAATGAGAAACAGGCACTCTTGCAGAAAAAAAAAGGCTATATAATTAAATCCAGAAGGGTCCTCACTTCTCTTTTTTAACTCTCCAACTGTGCCATACTTGTGGGCAAAAGGTGAAGGAACCAGAAATACTTTATTATCTAAAAACACAGTATTTGATATTTCCCCTCCAGTTATTTATGTCTGCCACAGTCTTCAGGAAACCTGCCTAGCATGCACACATTTCATAACAGGTAACATAAGAACTTGCTATTCTTCCTGATATTTATATAACAGGACCTTCCACGGAGCTCAGTAGGCTGCCTAGACACAAAGTGTGCATGCACAGCCAGCATAATTGAAAGCAGCTGCCCAGGCTCAGCTGCTCGGGAAGCCCAGCTACACAAGGGGCTTGCTGAAATTTCAATGAAGGTTAATGGACAAAGGCAGGCTTCAGTACATAGGAAGGAATTGAGGTGGTTAGAGGAGGAATCTACCAGGGTGCACATGAAGAAATGCCTGTGTGAGTAGTTTTTTTTGGGGGGGGGGGGAAGAGATACTATCAGTAACCAAAGACAAATGATTTCTATAGGGTTCACTTTCCTCCTCTCTTTGCTAGTTCTATTTGCTGAGTTGAGCATGGGGGTGGGATGTGTTTTGAGTAGGCCGGTGTAATATGGGTACCTGTTCATATTTCTGAGACAAATTTAATTTGTTAGATGAAAATCCTTTGGGGTAGAAAAATCAAGGCTTTATGACAACAACAACAAAAATTCTTGAATTTATCAGTGTCAGATGGATGAGATGTTCATAGATTTTTGGGTTATGTCTAAATAGAAGGCTTGTGCACTTACAGGTCTCTCTCCTGAATCTGTAGTCAGATCTTAAGCACCAAATTGCATAAGAATAAGTAAATGGAAAATTCCAGAAAGGGAGAAATCATTAAATTTCAGATGCATGAACAAGTGAACATATAGAAATACAACCAGATGGAAGATTAGAGAGAAAAAATGAATAGAACCTTTTAGCTAACCATTTTGGCTAAGGATTGTGTGAATTTTTTGGCCAAGATAGTGTGAGTCTTTTGCAAGGGCAAAATTTTCATAGCAAACAAAGACAAAAAGACTAAAAATTTGTGTTCCTGTTCTCATTTAGTTTCTCCTGTCTCTGGCTTTATTGAATCCATATACCCAAAAGTCTAGATTCTCTTAAATAAAAGTCTCTAGTACACACATCATTTTCAAGATGGAGAGAAGACAAAACCTCTTTCAGGCACTTACAGTAGACATTCACCTGGATTTCTCGTTCCAGTTTCTGAGATCCACAAGTTGCTGTGCACAGGTAAGAGTGTTCATTCTCAGAACTGACAGCATCCATGATCAGGACAGACTTGGACCCCTCGATCTTTGTCCTGCCATGAAGTGGACTATCTATCTGGGTTCTCCAAGAGAAAGATGGAGACTCACAGCCTGTGGTGTTGCAAGTCAGGGACAAAGAGTCCCCAATTTGAGCGATCATTTTGTCTTGAGGGGAGATGTCGAGTTTAAAAGCTTGAGCTGAAACAGCAAGGGAGAGAAAAACAACTTTAGCCTGAACTGTCTCACGCTGTGTCCTTTCTCTCTTGCATAGCAATACAGTCAGCCCTGGGTGATCTACTTTTTAAACTGTCTCAGACTAAGAGCAAGACAGCCCAGAAGCCCAGAAGTTGCTGTTGAGGAAGATGCTGGAATCATCACCATGAAGAAAGCTCAGTTCTTACCGTGAAGCTCATTGCACAAAGCGATTTTGTTCTTTTCTAAGTTTGACTTCGTTGTCAAGTACAGGAAACTAAAAGATAGACCCACTACTGATATAATCCAAGTTACTACTTTAACATTAGAAAAGGGTATCAAGAGACATCCTTCTGCAGCTCTGACAATACTGGCTTTTATAGCAAAACTTTATAGTACACCGAAGCTGTGGACTTGTGAAAGAGGTCGGGGACTTACAGGCTGCAAACAGTATCCAAAGTACCATTGAGGCTCCCAAGATCATGACCATCTTCTCAGGCGTTTCAAGTCGCTGCTGAGGTGACGAAATGGAAGCTCCAAAGCCTTCTTTGTGCCCCACGTGAAAGTGTCTGGGAAAAGTGTTCGGCTCCCAAGGCCAGCCAGGCTGGTGTGAGTGAAATAGAAAGTCTGCTCTTTATAAAGGGTCTTGCTGGAGAGGCGGAGGGAAATCCCTTCAAGGGGAAACCCAGGGCAGAGCCAGAGAAAAAGTTTAACTGACAGCCAGCCAAGTCCCCACGTTAACCCCTTCAGCAGCTCTCAGGGCTGAAGTCACTCTGAATCCTGGAAAACAGGACACTTCCAAGTCCATAAATCTCAGGCTTTTCCTGACTTTCAACTCGGAAAGGGCTATCTTTCCTGAGAAGATATGAGACATAGATTACTGCAAAGTGAAACTGCCCTCAAAGTGTGTGTGTGTGTGTGTGTGTGTGTGTGTGTTTGTGTGCGTGTGTGTGTTTGAGAGAGAGAGAGAGAGAGAGAGAGAGAGAGAGGAGAGAGAGAGGGGGGGAGGGGGAGGAAGGGAGGAGGGGAAGGGAGGGAGGGACGGAGGGAGGGGGAGGGACAGAGACAGAGATCACTGGGTAAATATCCACTGATTTTTCTTCATTAAGGAATGTATTTGTAACTAAAAAAAAAAAAAAAAAATTGAAATGGTTCTACAAAAAGGAAAATATCCTTTATTTGGACGAGTCACTCTTTTAGAATAGGAGAAAGCGTAACTTTTAATTTTAAGGTTATCTATCCATAAATGTATTTTTGACACAAAAAAATCAATGCTCTGAAATAATTTTCTGGATGAGAAAATGAAGGGATGTTGATGCAAAACGAAGGGAATTCATTTTTCTTTTGTTTGAGGATTTCTCAGCCCTTTAGTCCATTGCTTGATGACTGGAAGTCTTTTGCAGACTTCAGAGCAAAAGCATATGGGATCTGTTTAGTAAATTTTTGAAGTGAATTTCTTTGGCTACATTTTTTAGTCACATGTCCAGTTTGAACATATAGACAGATTTGCTTTTTGTTGTAGGAGAAGAAATATTAACCACTTTTTATTATTTTCTCCCAGTAAAGTGACTTTCTAGAAGATTCAATTAACTATCTCTGAGTCTTACATACACATAGCCCGTGTCCTTGCAAAATGCTTGCCCATCAAAAAGAAACCGGAATAGCCACTTCCTTGTATTATACACGTGCAGGTCTACCTCCCACATTGCATTACTAGTTCCCTTCACAGCCAGGACTAGTTCTTATTCATAGTTGCTTCTACTCCTTAAATATATAATGCATGGTTTTGCATATAGTAACTACAAAAAAATAGAAGAGTAAAAGCTAAAAATCTAGAAAAGAAACTTTCAATATACTGACCACAGTACAAAAGTTCACATGAAAAAAAATTCTACAAAACAATTGCAAATTTCCAAGACATTTAGGCACTTATAAAATAAATAGTGCTGTGTCATATGACAAAGGCCATAAATTGAGATCTGTATTCTCCAATTATCCCTCCCTGACAAGAGAGACTTCTGGACTTTCTCTTGCAAATGTATGTGGCTCCCACTCAGAGGCAAGTAGAGAAATGTAATTGAGGAATCTATTCTAGGGCGATGATGACATCTCCAGGAGTCAATGAGATTAGCTGCTGAACAAGTAATCTAGGGACTTTAACAATGACCATGGCATGAAAGAGGATTATTGGCTACATGCCATTGCTACTCAACTTTGGGGCAGACCAAAGGCAAGTAAAAAATTTTAAATTCATTTCTTTGACACTCAAAAATAAGTAAGTGCTGGGATCACTCACACCCATGCTATTTGGAATCAGTTCTCACCCAAGTGAGTGGAAGGATAATTCCTTTTGGGAGAGGGGAACAGTAAATACAACAGAGGAAGTGAAGAAAACAATTTGGTGGATTCCACAATGTCAAATCCTTCCTCATTTGAGAATCACTACTCTAACACAACTGAAGAACCTCTCTAAAGCTCCATTTACTTCTACATAACTCTTTTGTTACTATTTGTGTCATTAGTGCTTTGTATATGCTACCTGTTTGTTTACAGTAATTCAAGTGAGCAGGGTTGTTCTTGTCTATTTCAGTTTTCCTTGGGATGACCTCTATGGTCTCTACTAACCCCCTCCTGTGACTTTTTATAAACTCCTCTTGCCTTGAAATAATCATACTCTCCCTAACATGGGTATAACTGCCTTAACATATTTTACCACTCAGCCCTTTTAAGTCATTCATGCTCATTTTCAAATTTCACCTGCCCTGATGATGTGTCTGTTTTGAGTGTCTATGAAGTCATATAAAATAAATGAGACATTCCTTCTGGGGCAATCATTGCAGACTTTTCTTTCAGTTTCTAGTAACACTTAATGCTTTTGCAATGCTTCACCTAACCAGTCAACTGAAGTACACTGTGATCATTGCTTTTGAGCTAGGTGAGAAGCAGGTGGGTGTTTCTGTCTTTATACTCACATGATCAGGAAATACAGAAGTTTCTTTGTTTGAGCGAGATCAGACTGTGTGATCCTCACAACAAGCACCAGGACTGAGTTTGAAACCAGCTTTCCTTACCTGGGGATCACTACATGGTATGCTCTACTACACAAAGCTTCCTGTCTGCAAGAGGGTTCCACTTTCCTTCAAGCATTAATGCCATCACGAGATTGAATTCCAATGGGACAGTTTGACTACAGTAGGCATTATGACTTGAGACTGTACCCACTTCTCAGTGATGACTAATGGCTTCATAGTACCATCTTTAGAGCTACTGTTTTGTATTTTATTACCATAAGAACTTGCACAGAGCACTCCAAGTCTTCTGTACTTAGCCACAAACAAAAGGTGTGTGCAGACACTATGGGAACACCCTAGCAACTAGACTGTGAATCCAAATGTAGAATTCCATTTGGCCTTCATTGGAACTTGGAAGGAAAATTTGTGATGTCCCTAAGCTTGTAAACCCCTGCTGTGATCCAGAAGCTGTCTCTTGTGAACCCAAATGGAGTTATTTTGATGACAACCCCATCACCCCCTTCAATCATGCAATCTCACCCCAATAAACTCCAGTTCTCACAGGGAGGATTTGAGAAAACATTCAGTTCTTCACCCATTCTAAATGATTGTAAAACACATGTTTACATTAGTGAGGGGAGGCTTGGAGAAGGCATATCATGAGCTTGCAGTAAGCATGGATGAGTAAACACATAAAAATTAACAACTGGAGTATCGGGAAGGAACCATTGTAAACCACGGGTGTTGTATCCACTTACAAATGACTCATGTAAGTGGGGAATTGGGTCAGAGTTTAGCACATAGAAGAATTAAGAAATTATATTTTTCTGCAACATGATTATACCACAAGTGTATTTTCCCAAGGTATAATGCCTTTGGAAATCTTCCCTTAAAATATGATGATTTTATGTGATAGATTGAGGTTCTAATCTTTCATAAACAGCATTTAAATTTTCTTTTTTGGAAACTACAATCTTTTAAGAGCTGCAGCTCAGCATCAAGTGCTAAAACCATTTTAACATTTTTAAGATACATGAAGAAGAAAGAAGTAGTCAAAAAAAGGAAGCAAGGTTTTTTAAATTCCTCTTCTGAAGATGAAAGAGTAATATGATGTTGAAATGTTTTCACCTACAAAACAAAAGGGGGCCACATCCAGTAGTCTCCAAGTCATTCTCTTTCTTCATAATGACCTCTAGATCAAATAATAAGAAGCTAAAGAATTGTGGTCAAATTGCTCAAAGGTCTCTATCTCAGGACTTACAGCTGTAGACAAAGTAACAGAGATTCTCTTGAAAGTTGTGTGTTCTTTGTAGAAAATCCTTTCATGAAAATTCTAGTTCATCATTACTTGGTGGTAGAGTGTCCACCTTGCATGCTCAAAGTCCTGGGTTTGATCCCCAGCACTAAAAAAAAAAGAAAGAAAGAAAAAAAAAAAAAAAGAAACATCCATCAATTTATATCTTTAAGTCATTAGTTACTTTTTGTGCTTTACAAAGGGTTTCAGCCGCTGGCAATAGGCTTTTCACTCTTGGCTTTACTCTGCATACATAAATGTTTCTATTTAAACTCTTGAACATGTCATTCCTCCTCTATGCTAAGGTTGGTGATAAAATGAAAATTTATTAACTGTTCTGTAAAATCTGCTGGGTCAGGAGCTTAAAAATACTGTGGTGACTCCTCTGTTGGAGTTCATACTCTAGTGGGTTGAAATGAGGAAAGGAAAAGAGCAAATAGACCAGCAATGGGGCATCAGTGAGGCAGGCAAACACCAGTAGAAATAATCATGGCTTCAGAGGGTAGTGAGTTGGTATTTTCTTCCACGAACTGTTCTTTTGATCTGTTTTAAAAGGTGGGGTTGTAAACTGGCTATGGTTTTCACATATAGTACTAGGAGATAGGAGCAAGTTTAAGGTCAACCTGGACTACATAGCATGGCTCTATCTCAAAACAGTCATGAGGGGGATGAGGCTGGTATGATATAAGTATGTTAAGTGGCCATGCATCTGAAAGATTAGTTGACTTCACTCTAGCAAGTTTAGCTGAGCCGTACAGGTTCAACATAAGAACAAGACATATTAACACTTTGAGGGTTTACAAAATGAAAACAGTAGGGAAGTAGAGGGCGAAGGTGATTAAGTCTGAAACATGGTATACAGGTAAAGCATTCTGAAGATGTCTTGGCAAGAATGTCTTGGCAACATGTACCTCACCCAGTTTGGCTATACACATACTTATCTCTGAACAATGCACCTAGCAACCTGTTAGCAGCCAGGGACCCCACCTGTGTAAAGCTGCATGTAATGATGGAAATAACTTACTCCTTTTAGCAAATAAAAACTGCCAGTTTTTATTCAAACACATCATAGAATAGAATCCCAAACTACAGGACAATAGGCATATCTGGTTAGACTGTTTGGGGTGCAAGTGCAATAAGACATATTCTTCCTTCAAAGTGAATTTTTAAAAAGAATCCTGTACTTAGCATCTTATGCCTAGGTATTACTGGGAATGCATGTGATTAAAATCAGATGCATTATGAGAATAGGCATGTGGCGTGCAAGAAGTTACAA